AATTTTAGTTTCAACATATTTTCCTTGTGCCCCTTGGTGGAACCCAATTTTAGCAAAAGCCACTTAACACATATAATTACTAAATGAATTTACAGGAAGATGTAAAACTTAGCTTTTATATCACAGTCTCAACAGTGATTAGTATAACCTTATTTAACAAACAAGAAGAAAAACACCCTCCATAAAAAGCATCTAATTATAAGAATACAAATGTTATTTTATGGAGTAGTGAGTAAATGAAGTTCCTTAAAGCAAATTTGTTAATTACTGAACAGTGTGGTGTAAGATAAACTGTGTTTTGATAAGCACAAAATATCACCTACTACAATCACAAAATTTTGATATTCAAATGCATATTGTTTTCAGGTTACAAAATTCTAAAATTCTGTAAGTTATATCACTTACAGAAAAATAATGAAGAAAAATAAATTAGAATTTCAAATGAAGGAAAACACACAAGAAACTTGGTAATGTAGTTAGAAGAAAGATCAAAGTATAATAAGTTCAAAATTATAACTATAGGCACACACAACTCTTTTACCTTAATGTCATGTGTTACTAAAATATTAACAATAATTAGATCCCTAGAATTAATTTAATGAATGTAAGACATTTATTCTAGTAGTAACTCAGCAGAACTCATATCCAGAGATGTTCTAACAAAAAAGTTACATAATGTTTTTGAATATTCTTATTTAATACTATCAGCAGAAATGCCTTTTAAATGTGTGTATATATTTATATATGTAAAACATATATATATGTAATTTGTACACACATGGTAATTTAAAAATTGGTACTTTGTACCATAACATATTCATCAAATAAAATTTAATTTGTTACCATCATAATCTTTTGAAAAATTCTGACATTTTTAGGTACCTTTAACATGGACAACTTTTACAATGCACAAGCAAAAATAAAGTTCTAAAACATTTTTATAAAATATATATTTTCATTTAAAGTTATGAAACTAAAGTAAATCACACGCTCAAATAAAAGTTGTCCACAAATGATTCAGAGATCCTTCTAGTATGAGAAAGATGGTTTTATATTGAATATTAGACTAGGCAAGAAAATATTCAACTGCTAATCATTTATTTTTCTTAGCAGTAGCTTCAATTTCAAATCATTATCTTTTTTCATTGCCATATCTTTTTCATTTTAAATATATTTTATTGATTTTTTACAGAGAGGAAGGGAGAGGGATAGAGAGTTAGAAACATCGATGAGAGAGAAACATCGATCAGCTGCCTCCTGCACACCCCTACTGGGGATGTGCCCACAACCAAGGTACATGCCCTTGACTGGAATCGAATCTGGGACCTTTCAGTCCACAGGCCGACGCTCTGTCCACTGAGCCAAACCAGTCACGGCAATTGCCGTATCTTGAGAAAGTGGTTTGTACACTAGAGTAAAGTTTTCTTTGTGGCAGGAAATTATTCCTAATAAATTCAAATCAAAGTATTTCAGTACAGACAGAGGTCAAATGTAAGAGAGAGTCTAAGTAATTATTCAGAGAACCAGAGCAGGAAACTGAATAAAGGTGATAGGTTTGTGATATTTCCAAGTACCCATATTTAACTAGTTTTACCTCAGCCAAGTTAATTAACTATACATTTCACTTATTAGAGGTTCTTAAGAAATAGCCCAATTTCAGTCAGGAATTATGTCTACAGAATAGGCTTCTCCTATACAGTCAGTTGTATCAGGCATGCTCATAGGTTGACTATTAAACAGCTAGAAGAACTGAATTTATATGGCACAACCTGGCTCAACATTTGGAAAGAAATGGCTTGAGGGTTGACCAACAAGTTGTTAAAGATTGTGCTCACAGACAGACAACTGTATGGTGATTACCAGAGGAAAAGAGGGGGAGAGGGAGGCAGAAGGGAGTCAAGGGGGATAAATGGTGACTGAAGGAGGTTTGACTGAGTGGTGAACACATAATACAATATACAGGTTATATATTATAGAATTGTACCCCTGAAACCTACATAATTTCACCCTAATAAATTCAATACAACTGAATGTCATCCCAATAAATTCAATTTAAAAAAATTTAAAGGATAAAAAAGATTGTGCTCATATAACTTCTTTGAATGGTTCTATAGTGAATGAAACTGGTACATAAAAATAAGTAAATTTCCTTTGATGACATGGGCACTTATCAAAAAATCTCTGAGTTTTAACAATCTAAACAACCAAAAAGCTACAAATATTCTAACATTTGGCAAAAGGAGGATGGAAGGAAATCTTAAATAGGTTTCATGGCACCCAAACTTTGTTAACTTCACTATAGTAACAGATGTGAAAATGCAAACAGAACCACCAGGTCTCTGTGAAAGAAGCAGATGAAGATCTCTAGCACCATTGAGAGGGGAACTAAAAGGGAAATAAATTTGGTAAGAAATACAAGTAACACTAGCAGATGCATATTTAGATAATAAAAATCTATTACATGGCACTATCATATGTGCTCTGATGAGGGCACCTATCATCATTCCAGGCAAAAGTTATCTTTTTATGTAACTTTTACACTCCTCTTGCTAAAAGGGAAATTTTCTTATAAAAATGAAAAACAAAAAACCATCTTTAACAAAATCTTAAATATGAATGCATTTTAAAACGTGTAAATTAATATATACAATTGATACTATGAAGTGGTGGGGTACTTTCAGTAGTTTCCCACTATTTCCAGTTGTTATAATTCTGTTATTTTATTTTTAAGATTAGTTTAATTTACCAACTAATATAATAGAAATCATGCATCAAATTTATGTAATGGATAACTGAAGGAGAAATGCCACTTTTTCATACTGTATATTGAAAAAACGTCAAATAATAAATTTACCCTGTTAATGTTTGCACCTGTATTCACATGACCTGGAATAATCAATTCAGTTAACTTAGTAACAGCACTAATAAATCTAGGTAACACATTTTCAGTTGATAAGTATGTTTAACAGGGAGCCAGAAATCAGTGTGAAGGTAAACAGAAACGCCTGGAGAAAATAAAGTAGGGGAAGGATGAGGCTCGAGACATGGTATGCTATCATGAGAGGGTGGATGAAACAAAAATGAGAAAATACTCTTTCTCTTCATTTTTCAGTTTTCCTAAGGCCTTGATAATGGCAAGTACTTCCCTTCCCACTGCAAATGACTTTTTGGGTGACCCTTCTCAGGAGCACTATAAAGTACTGGAATCTATTTTTATGTTATGGGAAAGATAGTTATTTTTACATCTAGGACATTTTACAATTCCTTTGTGAACATTATGATTGTAAAGCTGGGAGGAAATTGCTTAATCTATGTAACCACTTATTTTATCGATAGGTGAACTGAGGTGCAAAAAGGGTATCATTTAGTTTATAATCTACATAAATATATTGGGACTAAAAGGTTTAGACATGCCATATCTATTGTTAGTACCTACTGTTAAGAAAACAAGAGACAAATATACATAAGAAATAATCCAAAAACACAAAGAAAAGGTTACAAAAAAGGAACTCTCCACTGAGAATAGCTACTGTTCTGATGTTAGTAAGAAAAAGTGAGCTAGAAGTAAAGAACTTCAAAGAATGGATTAGGGAAAAGGCACTAAATGATGAAAGTGTAAACACGTAATCGTTACAAACAGAAAAGTATGTATAAAGTACTTACCAAGTACATGTTACATCTTGAAAATCCATAAAATGAAAAGTGTAAAGTTTCTCATATTATTATTTTCTAACAAATTTGTTTCTACCTCTATTTCATTATAAAAACAAAGTATATGGTAAGATAAAAAAGGGGTGGTTGTGCTTATTTCAAATCCCCAGGCTCCTTTTACATAGGACATCTAGAAAATCAATCCCACTGCTACTTTAGCTAGGCAGTTCTAAACGTCTACAGTCTTTTTATAAGCTTAGTTGAGGTGAAAATAGAAAGCTCAGGTGACAGAGTTTGATGATTTCAAATTCTACAAGCTTTCTATGACCATTTCTGTGACATCATTTCACTACATTAAAATATAATGTGTCAAAATAATTGTATTTATTAAATTCTAAAAACTTGAAAACTCAAATATGTGTGTTCCTAAGATGCTATTGGCTTATAGCAATGATCAGAGCCAACACAAATATTTTTCATTGGAACTACCTAGATCCGTGGTCAGCAAACTGCGGCTTGTGAGCCACATGTGGCTCTTTGGCCCCTTGAGTGTGGGTTTTCCACAAAATACCGCCAGACTCAAGGGGCCAAAGAGCCTCATGTGGCTAGCGAGCTGCGGTTTGCCGAGCCACAAGTTTGCCGACCACTGACCTAGATCATTGCTCCCCTAATTATCTACACCACTGCCTCTTTGGTAGAATAAAAAATGGCACATGGGTAAACATTTTTAATTTACTTTTAAAGAGTGGATTTTAATATAACTTAGAAAAAATACATATCATTTTCTCTTTTAAAAGTGAATCAACTAAAAAATATATTAAATAAACAGTATAGGTGGCATGAGAATATGGCCAAATTTAAATGTCTAAATGTTGCCCTTCATAAAGTAACTTCTCTGGCAATTAGCTAGTATAAATATTACTGGTGAAAGATGTGAAATTTCCAAACTAAATGATATTTTACTCTGTATATTACTTTTTGGTTTTTATCTCATAAAAAGCCAGTGTAAATTAACATAATATAAAAGTAAGTTCTTTGGGCAGAAATTTAAAAGATTTTACTGAATATCATTGAAGAAAACCTATTAAAGTTAGTATTAATGAGTGAGAATCCCTTCTCTTTTCTCCTACTGTTAATGAAAACTTCCAAATTCATATAATTGTGGAGTGCATATCAGGAACATTCTGCATAATAGCACACAAACTACATTCTGGATTAATACGACAATACTAAACCTAACACTTTCTTGCCCCAGCCCAGTCTGTGTCGTTTTTTTCTCCCTATATTGGAAAATGTCAATAGTGGCTACCAAGAGGCTAAATTAAACAAATAAAAACTCAAATACTTACTGTCGCTGGGGAGGCCCGAGTGGTATGCGTCACGGAGTGACCAGAATTCTCCATTGAATTGCCGATCAGATAGGTTCCCCCGGAGCTGCTGATGAGTTGTCCTCCCGTGACGCCCATCTGAATCCCACCAGTGCCCACCATACTGTGGGATGAGACCACGGTAGTCACCTGTGCAGAACTCCCTTGCGTATCAAAGTAATTCCCTCCAGTGTTTTGGCTGTACATCTGCGTTTCTGTGTAAGGATAAGTTGTTGTTCGGCTTTAGAAGAAGAAGAAAAAAGAAATTTACTAGCTTATTTATATCACTTTATTTCACTTTTTCTAGTGTGTATATATGTTTAAAATATATCCTTTGGAACATGACAAGTTTTATATTTTGTATAAAACTTCATTTCCAGAAGTAGTTGTGTTTACTTTCCAACTTAAAGGTACGGTACATGCCTTTAAGTACCTCAACATGTTCTCTGTACTGTAGAACTCTTGCCCTCTACTTGTGTCTACCTCCAGCATATCAATAGGTTCAGGTCTCTTCCCCCCAAAAAGTCTTGCTGAGTGACTTCTTCAATTCCTTATAAAACTTCCTGCAAATCCCAGTTTTAGAATAGTTGGGATCTGGCATGAGTTGGGGCCGGTAAGTCAACTCCCTATGCTACTTCACATTCCTAGGTGACTTGCAATAACCCTCCATGACTAAGGAAGCTTGCATGGATATCTGTCTTGTGACCATAAGATCTTGAGCAGTTCACTCACCTGTACCCTAAGTCCCTATCTACATCTCTCTCTTCCTCTATAGTCAAGATTCTCCTTGATGAATTACTACGCTAGCTCTTCACGCTATCACTTTTCACTTCCTAACAACTGCAGTAAAGCTTCCGCTTTGGCCTTTTGTTGAAACTGCTTTTAATAAGGTCACTTGAGACCAAATCTAAATACCAAGATATAAGGGTTCTGTCAGTCCTTATCTTTGTTGACCAGTCTGCTATATAGCATTGTTGACTACTCCGTGTTGCCCTTTCCCTGCTCTTTCGGTTCTGATTAAGCTTATTTTGTTGATTTATTTTTCATTTCCAGTTGGTCATGACATTTTAACATGACTTTTTCACTTTTTATTTTAAGATAAGTATATGCTCATAAGAGGTTGTAAAAATAGTACAGAGAAATATAAAGTACTTTTACTAAAATTTCAAATATAAAGTTAAAATTCTGTTTGTCATTCTCTTCAACCCACATCTCAGAGCTAGCCACTACTGACGATTTAATGTGTAGATTTTCAGACATTTTTTATGTATACACTGGGTCTCTCTTAATCTCTCTTGTTCCTTAGTTTCTATGACATTTATTTTCCACTATTTACTTTCTCTATCACTGCCTTTAAGAACATGTCAAAGCTCCATTTTTATGGCACTTTAAACAATGACATCTTCTGAGGTCTCTATGTTTAGTTCTTATTCAGACCATATACCTTTACCATATACCATAGGACTATGTAGATGTTCACAGTAAACAACCTTGCATAAGTTGATTTCTCCACTCTCTTTACTTTCTAGTTATACTTAAGAATTTTAAATCCGGGTTTCAAATAGCCACCTGGTTATCTTTATTAGGAAACCCTATGCGATATGAGAGGTCCCATATATAAAACTTAAAAAGGAAATTCCTTCTCTCTCTCCTTTCCTGTGTTCCCTCTCTCCACAGAGAGCAGCATAGCCACCCTCAGCTTTAGAACTATTGCCTCTTTCCTCAGACTGACAGTAATCACTAAGTCCTACCAATTTTACCTTCTAAATAGTTCTCCAACTCTTCTTTCCAGTCTTGTACTTAATGCATTAACTCATAACATTTTGCATTATAATTGCCTTCTAATTGGTTTTTCTGCCTCTAAATCAGGCTCTTTTCCAATCTATTTTCAACTGTGCTGCCAGGGGAGTTTTTCTAAAATGCAAATACAAAAACAAAACTTTTCTTAAAGACCTTTCCAGGATTCTCTCTTGCCCTCAGGAGGAATTCAGAACCCTTGACTGACCTTACAAAACCAGTAGGGCTGGTGCCTACCTAATCTCTGTCCTGGTACTAGCCATGCCCTCAAATGCTTTTTCCACTCACACCATCCTGGCCTTTTTACTGGTTCCCCAAAGAGCCATTTTCTCTTGCTTTTGTTTGTTGCACATGGTTTCCTTTGCCTGGAAGGCCTTTGCATTTTTCTTCTACTCTCTTCCTATTTCCTTATCATTCATAAACTCTCAGCTCAAACATCACTTACCTTATCCCCAAATTATTTTTCTGTACCCCTTGCCCTCTCTGGTCACTTTTCATAGGACTGTTATGTGTTGTTCTCTGTATTTTCCTAATGCATACTCTGTGCATACCTGAATCATAACTCTCAACATAGTTATTGTTGAATTCCTCATGTCTTAATACTCCCATGAAATTATGTTTTATTCCCCTCTGTACCCTCAATACTTAACAAGTTTCTGGTACACTGTGAGCACACAAATCAACAGATAAAAATATAATCTGACAAAATAGCCAGTTTCATAAATTTATAAAACATAAAGACTTATTTTTGGTTAAAACATGAGAAACTATTCAAAGATTTGTCTATAGCATTTAAAACAGGTCATTTGAACTTATTATAAATTACACTTGTAAATTTAAATTATAAGCTTTAGTAAAATAATAATAGTGCTCTGAAAGTATTGCACACTAAGTAAGTTAATACATTCCAGCAACAGCCAGTGTAGCAGAAACAGGTAAGATTTTAGGTTTTTTTTCTTTATTGATTAAGGTATTACATATGTGTCCTTACCCCCCTTTAACCCCACAACCCCCCCGCCCCACTCATGCTCTCACCTCCCTGTTGTCTGTGTCCATTGGTTATGCTTATATGCATGCATACAAGTCCCAACAACCCCATAGAGAACATTTTTTAAATAGAGAAAAAAAGCCATTTTAAACACATGTACAGTTCTTCTCTCATCATTGCTCTCTAGCTCCTATTGGGAGTCTCATCTATATATTTCATTACATACTGATAAAACAGTCATGCTGATTTCAAATTTAGGTAAAAAGACAAATGAGGTCACTCTAATTTATGTCCATTGGATATGACAGTGACCCTATCTGACTCTACTTAAAATAACAGAATCTAGTATAGCCAAGTAAGGTATACAAATTGATACAGGACAATAAATACGTTGACAGATGGAAGACATGGTGCTGGCTTTCATTTTCAAAGTCTTAGCAAAATGCCCAAGCATGCTCCCTAGTAATAAGTTGATTTCAAATATAAAACATAGTAATCACAAATGATAGCTAAAATACTGACCATTTAATATGCAATGGGTACTATTCTATGTGCTTCAGGTATTTACTCATTTAATCTTCATTTCAACTCTATGAGCTAGGTGCTATTACAATTCCTTTTGCACAGACAAGGTGAATAGGTTGAATAGCTTTATCCAAAGATAAGAATGGGTAAAAAATTATTTGGAATATGCACTGAGCCCATACTCTCAAACATTTTATCACATAAAAAGAACTTAACTTGTTCTGTATGTAAATTATACTTGTGAATGACTATTGGGGAATAGCCTTAGCAGGTGGTACAAGGGCCATATGATTTTCTGTTGCTATTTGGGATTTCCTTACATCTTACTTCACTGTTTACTGGCCCCACACTACTCTCCTCTCTCACCCAGAACAGTACCTGCAGATGCACTTGCCATGGTAAAGAGACAGAAAAGGTGGGACTATTTCAGAGGATACACCATCACACACTTGGAATCAATAAATTTATGATCATGGAAGTTTCTACTCTATCACAAGAGAAACATTTCAAGGAATTTGTAACACTCCATCTTTGGGGCATGACTCCCTTTACAATTAGTTCTCAGTGAAGTAATATTAGTAATGCAAACAAATGAATCATCCTGATATATAAAAACCCTGGGTCCGTCACATCCACGACCAGGAGGCTCAACCGACCAGGAGGCTCAACCAACCGGTAGTCAGTTTTGCCATGGCGACCCAGCGCTGACTACTATGGCTGGAGGCACGGTGACCCAGCAGTGACTGCTGAGGGGGCTGCAAATCAGGCTCAGAGAGAGGCCTGAAGAGAGAAGCAGGGTCTAATCCATAGTCTCTGTGGCAGCTGTTGATCAGCACTTGCCTCTCTCTTTAGCTCCAGGCCTGGTCAGCAGCCATGCCTCCATTTCTCTCCAGGCCTCCACCCCGCCTTTCTGATCAAGCCCCATTGAAAGACCAAGAGATGCTTACTGGCATAGAAACGGACCAATCAGAACCAAATCTGGGTTAACTGTGAGGAGCCAATGGCTGCCTAGGAGGCAGAGCTTTTGATGCTGACTGGCATAGAAACTGACCAATCAGAACCAAATCTGGGTCAACTGTGAGGAGCCAATGGCTGCCTAGGAGGCGGAGCTTTTGATGCAGACTGGCATAGAAACCAATCAGAACCAAATTAGCCAGCAGAGGAGGGTAGTTGGGGGCGAGATCAGGCCAGCAGGAGAGAGCAGTTGGGGGCAACAGTCTGGCAGGGGAGGGCAGTTGGGGACGATTGGGCTGGCAGGGGAGCAGTTAGGTGTTAATCAGGCCAGCAGGGGAGCGGTTAGGGGGTGATCAGGCTGGCAGGCAGAAGCAGTTAGGGGAAATCAGTCAGGTAGGCAGGCAAGCGGTTAAGAGCCAGCAGTCCCAGATTGTGAGAGGGATGTCTGACTGCTTGTGGGATCAGGCTTAAACCAGCAGTCGGACATCCACCGAGGGGTCCCAGATTGGAGAGGGTGTAGGCTGGGCTGAGGGACACCTCCCCCAGTGCAAGAATTTAGTGCACTGGGCCTCTAGTAGGTAAATAAAATCTAGGTCTGTAGTCTTCAAGTCAGTATAAAAATATGGCAGCAAAATGAAATGCAACCTGCTTTTATTTTCTTACTTCTCTCTAGTTGGAGATGATTCAAGAGATAGAAAATGAGCAAAGAATAAGACAAGGATAAAAGTCACTAAAAAGTATGTCTAATTCATATACTGTCCTCATTACTGAGTCATGACCAATGTGACTGGGAAGACTTGGCTATTGCACAAACACACCCTGGGATAAAGACTGGCAATTTCTATGGGAGGGGAAAAGGACAATTTTATCAGAAAATGAATTTGTCTCTGATGAACAATGTACACTTGCAATGAGGACAGAGGAATTTTAAACATTGGATTGGGTAATAGAAGCAGACCATTATGTCCTTAGCCATT